CAGGAGCGGAAGGAAGGGAGATGAGGACATGAAGGGTGAGGAGGACAAGGAGGAAGACAACGACGAGTGGCAGGAGGTAGCGGATGATGGCGGGCAGGAGGGCGATGAGGGGGAGCAAGGGCAGGAGAACAGGAGGATGAGAGCAGGACGACGCGGACGAGATCAATGAGGAACGTGACGATAATGACGGTGAGGATGAGAGAGAAGAAGATGAGGATGAGAGGGGGAGTATGAGGAGGAGTACGACGAGGAGGAGGGGATAGGAAAATGAGGAGGATGAAGATGAGCCGCCCACCCCCCAGCTCATCGCCGCCCTGGAGAAAGTATCGCCGAACTTCGCGCTGGACGCCAGCGCCACCGACACGTGCTTCGCTGAGATCGCTCGAGACAAGATGGGCGAGTTTCAGCTCGACGGGGAGGAGGCCAAGATATGGGCGAAGCAGAACTCGTTGAGGTCGTCAATGTTCAAATGGGGGGGGGGGTGAGGACGGGGGGCTTGCGACGGGGGGGCTTACGCCGTCGACGATCGACGATCGATGACGATCGTCGTTCGACGATCGACGATCGACCGACGTCTCGTCGTCGACGTCGACGGCCGCCGATGGCGATCGTTGAGACGACGACAAAGATCGAGAGGAAGACGACGACCGTGACGATGACGACGACGACGATGCGACGACGACGCAGCGCGCCCGATGTCACCTCGCACAGGAGCTGGTGCACCTCGCGTGATCGAGCTGGCTCCTCCTCCTCCTCCCTGCCCCCCCTCCGTGTCCTCCTCCTTCCCCTCCTGCCCATTTTTTTCCTCTCAGCCTCATCTCATCCTCCTCCTCCCCCTCCTCCTCCTCCTCCTCACCCCCCCCTTCCGCCTTTGACCGTTTGGCTTAGCTCCTCCCCCTTCCTCCTTCTCCTGCCCTTTTTCTATCCCTCCCTCCTTGCATCCTCCTCCTCCTCCTCCTCCTCCTCCTCCTCATCCTTCTCCTCCGTAGGATGACCCCCCCCCCCCCCCCCCCCCCCCCCCCCGAGGTAGACATGCGTGTTTTGGTGATACCTCAGGTTGCGGAGCCTGTGCCGTAATCTCTACGACCCGAGGTCAAAGGAGTTGGCGCCGCACGGCAAGAAAGCCCCTCCGAAGTGGTGGCGCGAGCTTCGACGCCTCCAGGGACTCGGCGCCACGGTGGAGCCCGAGCCGAGCGGCGCCACGGGGGAGCCCGAGCCGAGCGGCGCCAAGGTGGAGCCCGAGAGCGGCGCCACGGTGGAGCCCGAGCCGAGCGGCGCCACGGGGGAGCCAGAGAGCGGCGCCAAGGTGGAGCCAGAGAGGAGCGGCGCCACGGGGGAGCCCGAGAGCGGCGCCAAGAAGGCTTCGACCCTCTTCCGCTCGACGTCGAAGTCGGGGGTGAAGATCGAGCTGCTCGAGAAGGCTCGACGGGGGAAGGATGAGGAGAGCAGAGGATGGTGGGCAAAAGGAGGAGAAGGATACGCAGGAAGAGGAGACAGTGAACCAGGGTCAAGGAGGAGGGAGAGGTGTAGGACGAGAAGGGTGATGAGGACGATCAAGAAGAGGGCGAGGAGGGTGGAATGTGGGGGAGGAGGAGGGCACCTGAGGAGGAGGAGGGTGAGGAGGAGGAGGAAAAGGAGGAGAAGGATAAGATTGCGGGGGGGAGGGAGGGAGGGAGGGGGGAGGGAGGGAGCAGATGAAGAGAGAAAGAGAGAGCGAGGGAGTGAGAGAGAGAGAGAGAGGGAGAAAGGATGGGAGGGAGGGAGTGATGGAAGAAGGGGCCGAGCGAGATAGAGACAGAGAGAGAGAGAGTGAGAGAGAGAGAGAAAGACAGATGGAGAGAGAGAGAGAGAGGGAGAGAGGAACAGAGAGAGTGGTGGAGGGAGGGACGCGGGCTGCGAAGGAGAATGGTGAGCTGGATGGCGTCTCAGCCCAAATCGTCGGAGGAGAACGAGAAGGAGAAGACTGAGGAGGGGGAGGAGGAGGTGGGTGAGGAGGAGGTGGAGGGGGATGAGAGGAGGGGAAGGAGGAGGAAGAGGAGGAGGAGGAGGAGGAGGAGGGGAAGGACGAGGATGATGAGAAGGAGGGTGTGGTGGTGGAGGAGGACGAGGATCAAGAGGGGGGACCCTCTGGAGCCAGGCCCTGGCTACGCTGAAGGACGGGTCCCACCAGTGGGGCGTGGCTTTCAAGGCGGACGGCCTCCAGAAGGCCCAGGTCAGCTACAGGGGCCGCTCCGAGCAGGATTCGAGAGATTTCATGCTGGACCAGTGCAGGCTCGTCGTGGAGGGGAAGGTTCGGGTCGACGACGTGAAGGCGAACAAGCTGAGGTGGGAGCAGCAGCAGGCGGCGGGGTCGGCCTTCAAGAGGCCAGCGGCGGCGGTCTCCAAGAGGCCAGCGGCGGTCTCCAAGAGGCCATCGGCGGCAGAACGTGGCGATGATGACGAGGGGCCAGAAGACGCCGATGGCCAAAGCCGTGGTGATGGCGACGAGGAGCCAGAAGAAGAACACGGCGATGGTGACGACGAGCCAGAAGAACACGGTGGTGGTGACGACGATGAGCCAGAAGAACACGGTGGTGACGACGATGAGCCAGAAGAACACGGTGACGCAGAGGGCGAGGGCGGCGAGGAGGAGACGCCAGAAGAGGACGCCGTCGAATCCGAGGACGAGGAGATCCCCCCGCCCGTGCTCAAGCGCCCAGCCGCGCAGCAGCCCGAGGAGACGCCGCCGACGAAGAGGCCAGCCGTGCAGCCCGCGGCGAAGCCGAGGATGAGGCCAGCGGCGGCGGCGGCCGCCGAGTGCGACCAGGCGCCAGCGGCTGAGCAGCAGGACTGTACAATTCGAAAACCACCACGCCATCATGAGGAGGGATGAAGGAGGAGGAGAATGAGGAACGCAAAAGGGTGCGGACCAGAGGTGAGGCGGAGGAGGACGGGGGGATCACGGGGCTGCAGGAGACGGATGAGGATGGCGCGGATGAGGAGATGGATGGGTGGAATAGGAGGAGGAGGACCAGGAGGAGGAGGAGGTGGAGGAGGGGGAGGGGGAGGAGGAGGGGAAGAGGAGGATGGGCGAGGAGAGGAGGAGGAGGAGGAGGAGGAGGAGGAGGAGGGCGAGGAGGAGGAGGAGGAGGGGGAGGGGGAGGAGGAGGAGGAGGGAGGATGGGGGAGGATGAGGAGGAGGAGGAGGAGGAGGAGGAGAGGAGGAGGGGGAGGAGGAGGGGGAGGAGGAGGAGGAGGAGGAGGAGGAGGAGGAGTAAGAATAGGGGAATAGGAGGGGGGAGGAGGAGGAGGAGGAGGAAGAGGAGGGGCTGAGGAGGAGGAGGAGCTGCCAGCCCCAGGACGACAGCGACGACTCCGCCCCGCCCGAGATCGGCCTCCTGGCGCGCTTCGCAAGGACTTGATGTCGAAGTCCTTGCATCGAGCGGCCCAACGGGTTATGTGGGAGGTGGCCCTCGAGGGGGCTTCATCCCAACGAACTCCACGGCCTCTCTTCGCTTCTCCTCTTCTCCTCCTGGCAACTCCCCCCACCTCCTCTCGAGCAACTCCTCCCAACTCCTTCCCGCTGCCGCCCCCCTCCCCCGCCCTTCCCCTCGCGGGGATGGGGCGAGGGGAAGGGGGAACTCGAAATGCTCGATGGGCCGCTCGGCTTCGGCCGCCGCCTCCGTTCGACTTAGGCCTCGGAGCGCTGCGGACCAAATGGAGCGTGCAACGGCGGATCCCCGCATCGAAATTCTGGTATATACCTACCCGATGGGCCACTTAGCGCCCATGGCGATATCGCCGCCCTCATCGCGTAAACCACAGTCGAAATCCCGAGAGCAATGCGACGGCACCCATTGCCAAGGCTCGAACGCTAACCCTTGTTTGCGACGCTGGATTCCCAGCGAAACTCTGAAATCGGCTCGGTTGAAAGAAGCCGCGCTAAAGGTTACCCCGCCCCCCCGCCACCCACGGCCGAAAGCATGTTGATCGGCGTCGGGCTCACGAAGCCCACCTGAACAAAACCCCGTCGCCACGCTGGATCCAAGTCGAAACCCGACAACTTGAGAAATGCCCTCCTAAGCAAGTTCCGTCGTAGCCGTTCGGGCTTCGAGGCCGTTTGCGTCTCCCCCCGCCCCCCCCCCCCCCCGTCTCGCCAGCGCGAATGGCTCCGCCGAAGAGCAAGGCCATGGCGGAGGAGCCAAGCTCCGTCGATGGCGGCGCGTGGAACCCGTGTTCTGACACGCAGCCCGACGACGCTCCGCTGGCTTGGGACTTCCGCGAGAGCTGGACCGCCGAGGAGTGGCTGGCTTGGGAGCAGCAGGTGGGCGGCGTCGACGTAGCCGAGATGGCCACGCAAGAGTGGACAGAGTGGCAGGAGGCAGCACGCGCGGGCGACGCCGTCGAGGCAGCCGCGGCCGCGGAGCCCATCGAGCTGCCGTGCTCCGAGCTCGCTCAGCCTCCAGGCCAGCTTGTCCTCCTCTGAACGCCCCCCCCCTTCCTTCTCCTCCACCCCCTCCTCCCGTGGCCCCGTCCTCCTGTTCCTCCTTCCCCTCCTCCTCCTCCCCCTCCTCCTCCTCCTCCCCCCTCCCTCCTTCCTCCCTCCTCCTCCTCCGCCTCCTTCTTCTCTCCTGTCTCATCGTCCTCTTGCCACTCCCCGCCCCCCCGCCCATTGCCGCTCAGGGCTTGGATTTGAGCCCTCATCTTCTTCATTGCATCTATCTTCCACTCGCACCAGCTGAAATGTGACTCGATTCGCCCTTCCTCGAGGCCACCGATCCCCCTCCTCCTCCTCCTCCTCCTCCTCCTCCGCCGCCGCCTCCTCCTCCTCCTCCTCCCCCTCCTCCTCCTCCTCCTCCTCCTCATCCTCCTCCTCCTCCTCCTCCTCCCCCTCTTCCTCCCTCTCGGCATTCTCCTCCTCTTCCCCGTCCTCGTCGCCCTTATCCTCATCTCTTCGCGATGCTCGATCCTGATCCTCCTTCTCCTCCGCCTCATCTTCCTTCGCCCCTCCCTCGAGCCAGGCGACAATTTTCAGTTCGACCAGTTGGAGGACGGCGGCCAGCCAGAGACGTTCCTGGGCGCAGTTGAAGGTCAGGATCCTGGTCGTGCTCCTCGCAGCCCCGCCTCGCTGGCTGCGAAGAGACTCGGGGAGGAGCTCGACCAACTGGAGACCGCGGCGGCGCAGACCCAGGAGTTGGCAGCCGCCCTCTCGAGAGGGCCGCCGATCGACATCGACAATGCAGACGAGAAGTCCAGCGGCGCGCGCCAAGTTTCAGAGGACGAGGTCGACCATGAGGACGATGACGATGATTACCATCCGAACGACGAGGCCGAGTCGAGCTGTCACGAGGCGTCGGACGGTGAGGAGGACCCCTCGTGTGATACCCTCGTGCTGTTTGACCAGGACGACCTTGCGAGCTTCGCGCACAAAAGTCAGCCCAGACGGACGAGAACTATCAGCCGAAGCCGCTCGCCGAGAGGCGCCGAGGACGCGGTGGGCGACGGCGCAGGCGTCCAGAACGACGAAGGCAGGGGCAAAGGCAAGGGCAATGGCATCAGCACCATGAAGAGCAGGAGCGACGAGACCCTTGGAGGAGATGACGAGGACACCGCAGGGAAGGGCAAGAGCTCCCAGGACACTTGGGGCACTGGCAAGACTTCTCAGTACATGAAAAGCAAGGGCAAGGGCGCCGAGTACACCAAAGGCAAGGGCGTGGACGCCAAAGGCAAGGACAGGAGCTTTCGGGCCATGAAGGGCAAGGGCTTGAGCGCCAAGGGCACCGCGGGCAAGGACGAGGGCAAGCACTGCGAGCCGAAGAGCGACGCAATGGCGAGGGCGGCTTTAGAGAGCGGCGACACCCATCGGCGTTACAACATCAAGGCGGAGGCAGCAGGGCCGACTTCGTCAAGATCCGCGCCGCAGACACCAGAATCGGATAGCTTGAGGCCAGCAACCATCACCCCAGACAAGCTCAGGCACGTGAAGAACGCAACCGCAGAGCTCGCGAAACAGGCGCTGGAGAAGGAGGAAATGCAGAAGGGCTGCTTGACTGGAGCGGCTTCGACCCTGGGCGAGGACGCGAGCGACCGCGGCTTGATGCGCAGGGCCATCAGGGAAGAAGGCACGTGCAGAGGCATGGCCGGCGATCTGGAGCTCGTCGAGTTGCAAGAAAAAGGTGGCATCTTCAAAATGCGGGGCGCTCTTGGGAACCAGTTCAAGAGAGAGGTTGAGAAAGGTGACACCCAGCTTGCGAAGGACTTTGCTCAATGCGAGGATGAGATCGCGATCGCGGAGTTCAAAAAGAAGTGGGCTTCCGACAAGTGGGTTGCGCTGAAGGCCAAGCACAAGGATCGGATCGACAGCTACGACGAGAGCTTCATCAAGAGAGGAAAACTCCTCAGCGTGCTGAGGATGTGTTTCGAGGAGGGGGGGGCCCACAGGTCACGAGGACGAGGAGACCGTGAAGGCCGTATACGGCATAGCGCAGCGGTGTTTGCAATTGGGCCACCCTTACGCACAATTGGACCCGCAGTCCAAGACGTTGAAATTCCTCTACTTCACGATGGAGTGGCGCGAGACGTTCAGGAGGAAGTGGGAGACATCGATTACCACAGATCATGAAGATGCTCCCAAGACGTCGTTGGCAGCTCGCTCAGCGAAGAAGCCCAAGCCCATCAGCCCAGCAACAGCTGCACCACGCGAATCGAAAAAGCTCACGGGCGCGGCGGTGTCGGCCTTGAGCGGGTCAAAGGAGCTGCTGAAGAAGATCGATACGGTCGCGGAGTGGGCTTGGGGGAAGACCGACGACACCAGGGGCGCCATCGTGATCTTGAGGAAGGAGCTGCTCGCGGAGATCAAGAAGCACCCGCTCGCCGTCATGCTGAAGGACAACGTGGCCAGCCCTGAGGTTCTTGATCCTCCTCCTCCTCAGCCTCCACCTCCCCCTCCACCTCCACCTGTTGTTCATCCTCCCTCCTCACTCCCTTCCTCCTTCCTCACTCCCTTCCTCCCTCCTTCCTCCCTCCTCCTCCTCCCCCCTCCGTCGATCCTCCCTCCGCACTCCCTTCCTCCTTTTCCTCCTCCTCCTCCTCCTCCTCAGCCTCTCTCCCCCCACCCTTCCTCTCTCCTTCCCCTCCCCCCTTGCAGGGGGCAAGGGGGGGTGGGGGGGGGTGGGGCGGGGGGCCGAACGACTGGCTCCGATGTGAGATCGCAACGCCCCTCTTCCTCATCGCCTCCTCCTTCCCCTCCCGCCCTCCCTCCGTCCCGCCCTCCCTCCGTCCCCCCTCCCTCCGCCCTTCCCTCCTTCCCCCCTCCCTCCCTCCCTCCCTCCCTCCCTCCTCCTCGATCGATCGATCCTTCTCGAGATCCTCCTTCCCCTATCGATCCTCGCTGCTCTCCCCCATAGGTGCTCAAGCAGCTCGGCGACGCTGCGGTCCTGGAGCAGGCGGAGGCGATGAAGTCGCAGCTCGAGGCCTGGCGGGGGCGGGAATGATGGAGCGGGGGAGAGGCTAGAGAAGCAGAGCAGGAGAGGCAAGGATAGGGAGGAAGGAGCGGATCAGGAGATGAGATGATTCTGCAGGAGGCGGCAGAGCGGTCTCAACGTGCCGACAAGGGGGCCTGGCCAGCAGGAATTTCGAATGTTAAGAGGAGGAACCTAACAAGGATTGGAGGGCGAGATGAGGAGGAGTTGGAGGATCGAGGAGGAGGGGGGATCGTCGAGGTTGGATGAGGAGGACCTTCAACAGGACAGGGGGATCGAGGAGGAGGAGGAGCAGGAGGAGAAGAAGAAGAATGAGGAGGAGGAGGAGGAGGAGGAGGAGGAGAAGCAGCAGCACAAGAGAAGGAGGATCGGAGGACGAACGCTCGCCACAGGAGAAGACGAAGAAGCTGGCCGCGAAGAAGAGGACCACCGAGAGCGCGCACCAGATGCTGCAGGGGGAGCCCAGCTCGGCACGCAAGAAGGCCAGGCAGGCTTAACGAGACGGGGGGGGGGGCGCAAGCAGGCTGCTTCGCAGTACTGCGTGCGCGGGGTTTTCGCTTGTTAACGGCCAGCATATCCTCTCCCCACGATCTATAGGACCGATCGGGTTCGGAGAGGGAGAGAGAGGAAAAAGAAGAGGAGCTGGAGGAGGATGAGGACGAGGAGAGGAAGGATGGTCGAAAACCAGATAAGATCAAGCCTGCCTAAATTGCCGACTGCCGGCCTAAATGGCCGGCTGCCGGCCTAATTTGGAGCCCCCCGAGATCGCTGACCGATCGCTGATCGATCGCTGATCTCGATCGCTGATCGATCGCTGATCCTCTCACCAAACACTGTAAAAACACAGGTAAAGTCATCGCTGATCGTTCAGTGATAGCTGACCCGATCGCTGATCGATCGCTGATCGATCGCTGATCATCGCTGATATCTGTTTTGTTGAAGATCCACAGGCCTTAGTATCAGCAGATCTCAAGACATTCGAGGATAATATATCCGATCCGATCAGCAGATCTTTAAGGTCTTTCAGCTGATCGCCGATCCTATCAGCAGATCTTCAGATCTGCTCGCCCACTTCTCAGTTTCGCTGGCCGTTGCGCGCTCCCAAGCCCTCGAGTCTGGCGCGGCGGCGAGAGGACGGCCGCGCGAGCCTTCTCGAGGAAGTTTCGCAGCGTCCTGGTGGGTTCGGGACAAATGAAAGGTAGAGTGGAGCAGGGCCGAGGAGGTCCTCGACCCTTCCCCCCCGTCCAAAAGAGGGGCAGACATGCAGGCTGCCTTGCTGAGAGCAGGGGCGTCCAAGCAGGCATCTGTGACCTCTCTCCCTTTTCCCTCCGCCTCGCCCTCCTCTTGCCCCGCCTCGTCCTCATCCTCCTCATCTTCCTCCTCCTCCATCCTTCCTGCTCATCTTCCTCCTCCTCATCCCTTTCCACCTCGATCATCCTCCTCCTTCTCCCCATCCTTCCCTCCTCCTCCTGCTCCTGCTCCTCCTCCCCCTCCTCTTCCTCCCCCCCCCCCCCTCGTATCACCCTCCTCTTCCTCTTCCTCCTCCTTCTCCCCCCCCTTCCACCTCCCCCTCTCCCTTCCCCCTATCCTCAGCTTCTGGAGATCCAGAGGGGCCAGGCTGGCAGGGCGCCGTCGATTGACGAGGTCACCGACCCTCGTCGATACCCTTCCCCCTCGCCTCCTCTTCTTTCTCGCCCTTCTTCATCCGCGTTCCTCTTGGATCCCCCTCCTCCTCCTCCTCATGTCCTCCTGGTCCTCCTCGTCCTCTTCCTCCTTTTCTTAATCCTCTTTCTATCCTCCTCCTCCTGTTCCGACTCCCACTGCCCTTCCTTCCCCCTTCCTCCTATGGAGGAGAGGGCGGGGGGTGGGAGGGGGAGCGGGCGGGCGGGAGAGGGTGGAGGGGAGGGGATGGGAGAGGTGGGAGGAGGAGGGGGGAGGAGGAGAAGGGAGGAGGACGAGGAGGAGGGGGAGGAGGAGGAGGAGGACGGGGGGGAGGATGAGGAGGAAGAGGAGAAGGACGGGGAGGAGGAGGAAGAGGAGGAGGGGGATCCCGAGGAGGGCAGAGTAACTGGCAGTCCTGAACTGCGTCTCTGCTGGAGCCCCTCGCTGATCTCGACGTTGTCCAGGGTGGCCTGCGGTCGAGGCAACCGATCTCCCCTCGTCGTCGCCGTTGCCGTCGCCAGAGGACGAGCGGGCGACGAGGTGAAGGATGGGGGGGAGGATCAGGAACATGATAGGATATGGATAATGATAAGGGTCGGGGCAAGGAGGGCGCGGGCGAGGACGAGGATATGGGGCGCCGCCGTCGCCCAGGGATGAGGACGAGGACCGAGCGATAGGACGAGTTTTTTTTCTTGGGATGTGTTGCTCGGTCGCAGCATCAAGTTGGTGACAAGGGACTCCTGCCTAGCGTGCGTTCGCGGGCCATGGCCAAGCGTCGGCGCACGGTCGAGTTCCCTGTTGCTGCCGACAGCGAGGGCGACAGGCGTGAGGCAGGCAAATCTTTGTTGTGTGAACTTCAACGCCTGTATTGCATTGGTCGGCTTGAGGCGACATCCTTCTGTGAAATCGTTTGGCTCGCGGCCCGATCAGGGGCCATGCTCGATAATTCTTGGGGGAAGAAGCCTGGTGACCCTTCGAGGGGCCATTGCCAAGAAGTGGTTGACCGCAAATTGGCCTCAGCAGGTTTGGGCAAAACGAAACCATTGATGTTGTCGGTGCCTGGGCAAACGTCAGCAAACGCCACTCGGCATGACCTTAGGCTGCATGTAAGACCGTTCCATGAGCTGTTACATGAGGAGGTGTCCTCGCGCGGGCTCGATGTGATGAGAGGGAAATTCGAACGGAGGCAGTGGCCGAGGTCGTACTGGGATCACCCCGTTGTACGGAATGCACCGCCAGGCACATTCACAATCCCCCTCGGGTTGTTTGTTGATGCTGCTCGGTATGGGGGGCAAGCGTCCTCGGGAAAGCAACGGTCAGTGTTGGCGATGTCCCTTGTGAATATGCTAACAGGCCGACGGCACGTCAGTGTGTTGATACGGAAACAGTTGGCGTGTAAGTGCGGGTGTCGGGGGCATTGTACGTACTCCCGCATTTTTGGGTGTGCTGCTTGGTGCGCCTCGGCATTAGCGGATGGGTTGTTTCCCGCGCGTGGCGTTGACGGCGAGCCATTGCTTGAATTGGATAGGATTGCCCGAGCTGGCTCGGACATGGGTTTTCGCGGTGCAATCGTTCATTTAATGTTGGACTGGGAGGGGCTCACCGACTTATTCAAAGTACCCACTTGGTCACACAAGTATAACCCATGCCCGCTGTGCACGGCGACATTGGCAGACCGCCACGACTATAGGTGAGCGCTTTTTTGCTCGATGGAGGAGAGGGGAAGGTGGGGCGAGACTGAGGAGGGGGCTGGGAGGGGCGACGAGCGGCGACGACTGCGACGATCAAACGACAACAATCGACAAACCTGCGACAGCGAGTCTGTAAGGGAGATGCTGGTCGAGTTGTTTAGGGTACCCCGCCCCGCCTCCCGCCACCCGCTGCACAGAAGTAAAACACATATCTCAGAAACTTGACTTTGGACGCGTCGCCGTGGGAGACGCACGCACCTGATGTTCACGAGCTCGCATGTGCCGACTCAGAGAAATGGATTCGCCTCAATACTAAGGAGGACCTGCTGTAAGATAACCTGGCGGGAATACCATGCCATCTACCCCTGCCACCCATGCCCCTCCAGACTGCATCTCGCTCTCTTCGTCCCCGCCCGTCTCCGCGTCCTCCTCATCGCACTCCTCCTCATGCTTATCCCTCAACGTCCCTCCGCGTCCCTCCGCGTCCTCCACGTCCCTCCCGCGCGTCGTCCGAGGGGGGTTGGGGGTGAGGTTGATTCTTGTTCCGCGCACCCCCTAGGAATGGGATGCCGTCCAGGCCGCGTGCGTCTTCGGATACGACAAGCGTTCAAAATCTGGTTTTGGCTTGTGCGCCACTTTCAGCTGTGAGCCCATCAACCCCGAGAGCTCTCGTATCCTGAAAGGCGATTTGCTCCCACCGCAGCCTGGGCTGGAAGACGTCGCGGCGCACCCGACTTTGACGACGCCGCGGTGGCTCCGTTTCTGGAGGCGCAACAGACGTTGCAGGGTGACGGCTCGGAATGCGCTCCTAGATTTTGATCTAGGCATTTCGATTGTTGATTCCTACGGTATTGATTTCACGCACACCATATGTTTAGGCGTCATGGCCAGCGTTGTGACTACCTTTGTTTGGGCCCTGGCTGGAGAAAATCCTGAGTTCGGATCGAACCTGGCAGAAAAATCTGTTCGAGAGTTTACTTGTGCAGGCAAGCTTGCAGAGAACCTGGAAGGATACTTCAGATCGCAACGGTTGCTTGGCAATAACCCCGAGGTCATTGATTGCTTGAACATGTCGATGTTTAAGGACAAGCTGAAAACAAAAGCTGGAGAAGCCCGTTGGTTGTTTAGGTGGCGCGTTGATGAGGGGATCCCGAAATACAGCGAATCTTTGAAGCAGGGGCAGCGGCTCCTTGAGTGCGCCAGGGCGCTTGGGGAATGGGATAAATATTTGGCATCGCTGTCCGACGTTCCGAGCCACGGGGAGTGCCAGCAGTTACGGCGCCTGTGCATTCGCCACCTGCGACTGCTGAAGGTTGCTGGCATCAAACCTATGCCAAAACATCATATGATGTGGCACCTGACTGATAGGACGCTGGCGTTCAATCGTATGGGGTTGAATGGGGGTAAGGGGGCTGAGGGGGCAGGGTGTGGCCGCAAAACGAAAGTCTAAGACATCTTCGAAACATCTGAGCTGCCCCGACAAGATAGCAAGCTGCCCCCCCTCCCCCAGACTCCACCCACGCGGCCGCACCTTGAACCCTTCGAATTTTGGGAAGCCCAGCAGGACCGAACGATGTGGTCACCCTCGTTTGTATGCAACGTGGACGGACGAATCCCTCAATAGCCTGATTGCTTCCATGGCTGCGGCGTCATATGCCAGGGAGGGCGTTTGGGAGAAAGGCATGTTTTGCCGTTTAGATTTGCAGGCCCATCTAGGGATCGGGGCGTCAGCAGAGAAGGAATATTAGAGATCCGTCCTCTCCTCCGTCCTCTCCTCTCCTCCGCCCTCTCCCGCCAACCCGACACCTCCCCCCATCCACGTTCCCAGCGCGCCTTGTGGTACTTGATCTCGTCGTTGTCGTACTTGGTCTTGTCGAGGGCGCCTGCGCTCCCCATGCGCCCTCAGGAGGCTTCGATGGAAAGCTGGGGTGCTCGCGAGAGAGGCCGAGGGAAGAGGCGTTTCCAATTTCTAGTGCAGGCCACGGGCTCGAGACGCGTTTGTGGCAATGTCTGTCCCCATCCGATGCAGTTCGGATCCCAACTACGTGAACCCATATATACGACACCTACCCGATACGAGCCCCGCCTCCGAGAAGGCTGTCTTTCGTAGAGGTGGCCAGGGAAGGGCTAAACGGGGCGCACCC